TTATATTTCCTTAAAAAAAAAATGCTTTAAACAAATTAAAACACATTTGCCAAGACTGGGTGTGATTTACTGAATGCACATGCTGTAGCCTGTGAAAGAAAAATTCCTGTTTACCTATACTAAAATGAACAACCTTTAGTTAGTGTGAAATAAAGAGAATTGAGATAGATATGTCCTTTGTATTTTTATTTCTATATATATATATATGAGTTTACACAGGGTTTGGAAGCATCAGAAGAAAGGAATGTGGACTGATAACATTCATGCACATGTGCTTCTCATTAGACAGAAGTCCTCATCCTGGTACAGAGAGATACTCTAATGAGGGAGTAGATCTTTCAAGGACAGGTTACACTACATCTTGTTACTGTGCAAAAAAGCTGAAAGTTCATATATTCAGTGTGACAAAGTTCAACTCATTCTGATGCATACTAAGTTACAATTTAATGCATAAGGAGTAAAACCAAAAATTGCTTTCACAAGCCTTGCCAGGTGTTATTTTGGCCCTAACAGATGAAATGCAGTATTGTTATAACATACAGCTCCCATACAGCAAAAGCACAATGGAGTACCACCACCATTAAAATCTATGATTATAACACAATATTACAATAACTAACCCAGACATGCCCTGCTGATAAGCATAAAAACTACACATCTGATTAAAGCAAGAATCCAAACTTTGAGACAGGGTTCAACTGGAACAACCAGTCTGAACAAATCAGCAGACATTAACACACTAACTTTTTCTGGTTGCAGACAATTCCCGTCTTTGCATCAAGCATCACCTCCCACTTGGGAGAAGGAAAGGCAAGTGTAAAAACAACTTTTGTAGGTCATCAAAAGTTAATAAGATAATTGCTTATTTCACATGTTTGTGTGAGCATGTCTCCTCTTGCACTTGATTTGTGTATCACTCTCAGTTCTGTCTGTGTGCATATCAGCTCTGTGTGTGTGTTTCCATGGATGAAGGATGAGAGGAGCTGGGTGGCTCAGAGCACAAAGACACATCAGAGGAGGCTCATCGCCAGCTCCCCTCCACTCCCACCCTCCTCCTCTCTCATCCAGCTTCCCTCCTCTTTGTTGCAGCGCTGAGCCTGCACTCTTGCCACAGCTCCTGCCACCACAGCCGAAGCCTGGTTGCTCTTTAAGGCCGCTTTGTCTTTTGGTCTTTTCTCTTCATTTTTTTTACGCTGATGTCAACAGAGAACTTCGTGCCTCTCTCACACACACTTCATTTTACAAAACCACAAAAAAGGAAAAGAACGAACAAAAAGAAGAAGCAGCACAAAACAAGATGGGGACAAACTGTAGCGATGCTCTTCCTCCCTTCTCTTCTTCTTTTTAAAGTTCCCCCTGAGTTCTCCCAACAATCGCAAGATTTAGTCTTGTAGTGGAGATGGATTTGTACTTTAATGTGCACAAGTTAAATGTGGTTATAGAGTTACATTCAAGAGATAAAGTCATCAATAGCGAGAAAAGTATGCAGGTGTACACAGACATTCTTTTGTACTTCAAGTTTTGATTGACTGACCAAAAAGTCTGAGCTCTCCTGTTTATCAGCTTACAAGCAAAGAAAAAAGATTTTTCAAATTATTTTTTATAATTTTTATGTGTTTATGTCAGTGATACATTTGCCTTTTTGTCTGTAACAAAAAATACAAAACAAAGTGCATTTGTGTGCATTCCACTGTGTGTCTGCGTGTGTGGGAATGTTAGAGCATACAAACATAATCAGTTTGTGTGTTTAAGAACGTGTGTGTGTTTCAGTGTCCCGAATGAAGTTTGTTTCCAAGTTTAAGTGAAATTAATACCTATCCCCTCCATGTCTTAATCCAATATTTACTGGTTGTTTTCTGTAATTGTCTGCCCATTTATGTGAACAGCTGCTCATGTGCATGCCGACCATTTTAATAAGGCTAAGCATGACATCATATGGTTTTGCTCTGTCCCACAAAACAGTGGACACATACCTGTATGTCATTATCTTCTCTTGCTAATTCAACAGAATGGAAGCTTTAGTGTTTCTTAATTGACACCTGATTAAATAGGTTGGCAATGGCTGTGTGTTTATGACTGGGTGTCACAAGGATTTTATCAGTTCTGTTACTGCTCACTGATGTTAATCAACGCTCTCAACACTACTGGCATTTCTCCTGCCTTATTTATGAATAATTCATGTACACAAAAATAATCAAGTTGCTTTTTCTTTTTCCAGAATGTGGAAGTAGGAACATAAATCACCAGTGTTTTAACAAATGTTGATGGTGTTTTTTTTTATAAAAGTTAATGACCACAGATTTGTTTCATATGATTTTTATATTATTTATATATGAGTTACAAAGAAATGCACTGATGGACTTTAGCACTAATGTTGTTAGCTGAGGACATACAGCATCTACTTTGTGGGTATGTGTACGTGTGTGGGTATGTGTACATGCATTCTTCCTACTGTACCTTACAGGAGTCCAGTCGGTGCTGGGCGATAGCGGAAACCTTTTCTACCACAGTGCGAAGTCGTGACTGTGTGGCATGAGAGATGAATGTCACTGCCTCCATGGGGACATCAGTCACTCCAAACTTCTTGGCTGTGAAGGATACAGACACACACACACACACATGTTTAGGACAAGATGTAAGTTTTTCCAAGTGGCACAGTGGTGCAGTGGTTGAAGATTCTAGGTTTGAACTTGCAGGCTGAAATCCATGCATGCATGGATTTCCTCCAGATGCTCCAGTTTCCTCCCACAGCCCAAAGCTTGCAAGTTAGATTCATTGGTGACTCTGAAATGCCTGTACGTCTGTCTTCACATCTCAGCCTTTTGATCGACTGGTGACGCCTCTAGGGTGTACTCAGCCTCCTGCCCAGTGTCACCGGCAACCCTCAAGGATAAGTGGGCACAGCTAATGAATGGATGAAACTTTTCCTGATCAGTATATCTTTTATATCAATTTGTCACATTTCTGACAGGTAGATTTTAACACTTTGTTTCTCATCATAATTACATTCCACTTCCACCTTATTATTTATAAAAGGAATAAAAAGGTAGAAAGTGATTCTTTATTATCACATCACTCGCTTCCACAATTTGCCATTTTGAGAAAAACAACAGCTAAGCAGGCAGAAGGTAACTGTTCCTGAGAGGAAGACACAAATACAAATACACACATAATAACTCATTAAGAAAACACACAGACAAGCAGAAGACCACAACCTTCAGTCAGTGGCTCCACTGAGACACACATAGACACCTACTGTACTCATGCACACAGTCACACAGAGCAACTGTCTGGATAAGTATATGCAGTTAACTCCCAAAATAGGGCTCATCACACAGAAAAGTTCATTTGTTTCACAGCCCTAGTGCAAATTCCAAAGTGGCTTTAGTAGCTAAGCTCCTTCAAGTATGTAAACGACAGTGACCATGTCTTTTTGTAAGAGAACAATAATTTAGTTTCCTTGGAGCAAAACTCATCTGAAGTCATAACAAAAGAGAGGAGGACATACATTGGTAGGGTGACTATCTGTTTCCAACTTTCTTTTAAATTATTCCATTAACATAATTTTCTCTCTGGCGCCCTTTTAAGTAAACCACACCAATTATTTAAATCAGCTGAACAATGCATATACTCCGTACTTGCACAAGCTTTGAAATGGATGGAGGGAGCCCTGTTAGCCTTGTAATTACAGAAGCAATAGAAGAGGCAATGTCACAAGGGTAAAGAAAAACAAGACTTCCTAAAAATAAGATCTTTTAGTGACAATGTTTCTGAGAACATTTAGGAGACATAGACAGAGAAACATGGTTCTGTGAACAAAAAGACATTTATCAACTTGAAATGACAGAAACCTTTCAGCTTGAAAAAAAAAGCCTATAACAGAACTAGAAACAGACTCATGAACTGGGCAACTTTAATATTTAGTGTAATTTCTATGAGAAAGACAGAACAAAAATCACAGGAGTTACATGCCTGCAAAATAACCTACCTTGTAAGTGGCCATCAATGATCTCAAGCTGTGTAAATGTTTTCACTCTAGGTAACCTACCTAACTAGGCTGGATTGCTGCAAATTCCAAAGCAGAATTGGTCTCAGTGCTACAAAGGGAGCTGCAGTACTCAGAAGAATTGGTCTCAGTGCTACAAAGGGAGTTGCAGAGATACAGTTCATTGAGAGATCATGAAAGAATTACGAAGACAATGAACTGTTCAACAGGCACATCATAGATTATCATAATATGTACTATGTATTTGTATCATTCACTAAATCTGCAAGTCATGTACAACTTGCCTGGATATTATATAAACAACTATCCAATTTTAAATAACACTAATTATTCTTATGCAGTTTCTGCTTATCATTTTCAACACAACAGATAACATAAAACGGTCAGTCAATACACAACCTGCATCGAGGCCTAGTAACTTGACTAGTATAGAACTGGCTGGTACATGTAACAACAAGGGTTCCCCTGAAAAGTAGCTGGAACAGGTGATGAATGGCTCCTCTGTATTAGCTTATATCTATAATCTCCACACCTATGTGATTCTTTCTTCTTCAGACCCACTGACTAGTTTCCATCACACCAAGCCATTTCCTTGTTGCAGTCCACGCCCATCTTCAACATGCATCACATAATGCCAAAAATAAAACACAGCTCTTTCCTTCAGCAAACAGGGACAAATGGTTCTCAAAAGCTACAGAAGCAACAGCTCAATCCTGTACTCCCAAAGCAAATCCCAATGACCCGCTTCGTGATCAGTTCTTCCTGAACCAGAGGCTTCATAACCAGAGTGTCTCCATTCAGACACGGTGACAGCACTCCCTGGCAACTTAAGCAGTTTGATCCTCTCCCAGTCTTTGTTTTTTGAAAGTACAGTTTCATTATTTGTAATTTGTGGATATTCTACAGTTACTGTGTTTATTTGTTCCAAGAGTTTAAGCATATACAGTATTTTCCTTGATAAATTTGATTTGGCTTGACTTGCCAACAGCAACTGAATTCAAGATAGATTTAAAAACAAAACTGAGCAAACAAAGCAGGTGATAAGTAAAAGGACACTTCTTGGCAGTAATGTCCAATACAGGAAAGCTAGTAAGCTAGACTAGGTTAGATAAGGTAAACGTAGAGCTGTCTTGGTGATAATAATCAGCAAATAATTTGTAAAATATGCCAGAGACCAGACATGTTGTTTCATGGTTAAACATACTCCACTGTTTCTGATGATAGAAACAGAGATATTGGAGTTTATGTCTTACAATTGGAAGGGCGACATGTCTGTGTGTGTACTGAGTATGGCTTCCCTCAGTAGCAGGTCTTGCTAGTTTCAAGGTATAGTTGACATGATGTAGGTGGCATTAGACTTTTTCTTTGTTTTACAAGTTACTCACATACATCTAGCAGAAAAATCAAACCAATTTTATTGTCAATACTATTACTTCAAATTAAGCATTACATTTTGGTATTAAGATATATTTGAAGGCAAAATTCTACACATGAATGCTTAATATTATATTTTCAGGTCTCAGCATTTGATTAATTTGAATTATTTCCAGCAGATTTAAGAACCTGTGTGATATTTTCAGGTCTCAGCATTTGATTAATTATTTCCAGCAGATTTAAGGACCTGTGTAACCCCTTACCTGTGTGATTTATGCTGCATATCTGCTTGTGTATCCATCTGTTTGTCTGTCTCTGTGTGCAAGTTTATGTGATCAACCCACATGTATGTAAGTGATGTATGTGCTCAGGCGTGTGAGAGACCTCCAGGTTTGACTGTGTTCTGGTTCTTTTTTGGGGGGTGGGTCAGTCCTGTTTTGCAAATTCACAAGCGAATCCCGCTCCCTCAAAGACACAGAGATACAGTGAGGAACAGAAGTATTTGAACACCCTGTGATTTTGCAAGTTCTCCCACTTAGAAATCATGGAGGGGTCTGAAATTCACATTGTAGGTGCATTCCCACTCTGAGAGACAGAATTTAAAAAAAAATTCAGGAAATCACATTGTATGATTTTTAAAGAATTTATTTGTCTTTCACTGCTGAACATAAGTATTTGAACACCTGAGAAACAGCAAGAATTCTGGCTCTCAAAGACCTGTTACTGTGCCTTGAAAAAGTCCACCTCTACTAGGCCACTCCAGAACCTTGATATGCTTCTTACGGAGCCACTCCTTGGTTATCCTGGCTGTGTGCTTTGAGTCGTTGTCATGAGCCACGACCCATCTTCAATGCTCTGATTGAGGGAAGGAGGTTGTTGCTCAAAATCTCACAATAAATGGCCCCATTCATCCTCTCCTTAATACAGTGCAGACGTCCTGTCCCCTTCGCAGAAAAGCACCCCCAAAGCATGATGTTACCACCCCCATGCTTCACAGTAGGGATGGTGTTCTTGGGATGCAACTCATCCTTCTTTTTCCTCCCAACACGATGAGTGAAGTTTAGACCAAAAAGTTCTACTTTGGTCTCACCTGACTACATGACTTTCTCCCATGCCTCCTCTGGATCATCCAGATGGTCTTTGGCAAACTTCAGACGGGCCTGGACGTGTGATGACTTGAGCAGGGGAACCTTCCGTGCAATGCATGATTTGAAACCATGACGGCGTAGTGTTCTACCGACAGTGACCTTTGAAACTGTGGTCCCAGCTCTCTTCATGTCATTGACCAGCTCCTCCCTTGTAGTTCTGGGCTGATTCCTCACCTTTCTCATCATCCGTGATACCCCACGAGGTGAGATCTTGCATGGCGCCCCAGTCCGAGGGAGACTGACAGTCGTCTTTAGCCTCTTCCATTTTCTAACAATTGCTCCAACAGTTGATCTATTTTCACCAAGCTGCTTGGCAATTGCCCTGTAGCCCTTTCCAGCCTTGTGGAGGTCCACAATTTTGTCTCTGGTGTCTTTTGACAGCTCTTTGGTCTTGCCCATGGTAGTAGTTGGCGTCTGACTGACTGTGGGGTGGACAGGTGTCTTTAAAGAGCTCAGACAGGTGCTACTAATTTAGATTAATGAGTGGAGTAGAGGTGGACTTTTTCAAGGCACAGTAACAGGTCTTTGAGAGCCAGAATTCTTGCTGTTTCTCAGGTCTTCAAATACTTATGTTCAGCAGTGCAAGACAAATAAATTCTTTAAAAAATCATACAATGTGATTTCCTGAAAATTTTTTTTTTTCGTTCTGTCTCTCAGAGTGGGAATGCACCTACAATGTGAATTTCAGACCCCTCCATGATTTTTAAGTGGGAGAACTTGCAAAATCGCAGGGTGTTCAAATACTTCTGTTCCTCACTGTATGAGTGGAGGTAGAGATTTTGAAGAGAAAGGTGGCACAAGTGTTTATTTGGAAGGGATTAAAAAAGAAGAGATGAAAGGAGACACGAAGAGACATAAAGAGGAAACTAAAAGAAGGAGGTAGTAGAAGTGTGGGTAGTAGTGGAAGTAGCAGCCAGCATCCTCTCCTGGAATCAGTTTTCAGAAAAGGAAGAAAAGAAATAAAAGGGAGGCAGAATGAGAAATCAGTGTCTCCACTAATTCTAAAATAAAAAAGGTAAGAAAAAGGAATAACGTGCAGGAGGAAAACTATTCGCTGTCCTCTGATAACAAAACAGGCTGAGAACCCATCTTTCTTTGGGGCAAACAGAGGGCAGGGAAAGTCCCAGTGAAGTTGTAGTGTGATGTTTAGTGGTAAATGAGAAAGCAGAGCAGAGCGGATGTAGGTGCCTGTACAGTGAAGAGGAGCAGCCAAGGCTCTCTGACCAAGTCGAGCTGGCAGGCTGGGGGAGCCTCCCGCGGACCGCCGTCAGTTGGGAGCACGGAGAGGCCAATCACTGACACAACATAGCTGCATAAATGCCACTTCCCCAGCAGGGGGCATCCATGCCTCCTGCCCTGCATCATGCTGTGTGCCCCCTCAGAAAATATTTATATTTCTAAACAACCCCTCTGCCCCAAGGTGATGGGATAAAACAATTATGCCGAGAGTCCACATAAGGGAGGCCTCTGTGCTACACTAACAATACTTAAACTGAGATAAACAAAGATGAGGGCACTAAACTCACCGTCACGTAGAATTGCGCAGTGTGTTTTTTGATCTGATGCTCAGAAATAAGATGCTAGATACAGTTTTATTTTGAGAAATAACGCTCATTATACTTTTTCACAGGTTTCACTGTGCAGCAAGAGCCTGAAGTATATATCAAGCAATAAAACTGACTGCCGATAGCAAAAAGAGGTAATGAAGACACTATCACTGTGATATGATGCTGCAAACAAACCAAGGCCTCCACGCCGGTATCAATTAGCACATGCAGTCATGTGAGCTATCAGTGTCAAAACCCAGTAAAAAGAAATAAAGAATCAAAATCTCACTGCCAAGTCTCATTCCTCTAAACTCTGTTCCTTTAGTCCAGAGGACAATCTGACAGCCAGCCTTCAAAAGACAAACCCATAAAGTATTTATGCGTCTGCCTGGGGTCCAGTGGGTTCAGACGGCCACTGAAGAATTCATTAGAGGTGAAAAAACTGTTAAGTATATCAAATTTAAACTGAGGCCAAAAAAGAAAAGGCTCAGTCTAAACCACTGATGGAGAGAGTATCAAAAGTGTCTTTAGTGCTGACAATATAAATACAGAAACAACATGTTTTTAACACAAAGGACAACAAATAGCGATTTCATCATGACTACAGCCTGGATTTTCAGCTGTGAATTGTTTTGTTAGAGCAGAAGGGTGGGTGGAAGTAAACTGTAATAACATTAAGATTTTTTCCTGCAACAGATATAGTAGTCTATAACTGCAGTTAAAAACATCTAAGACAGTGATTCTCAACTGGGGGATTGTGGTACAAAAGTGGGTTGTTGGTCCATCCTGAATGGATGGAAAGTGAATCTTAAGCAAGTCAATTGGTCAAAACACTTTATTTTGAAGTGTCACACAGCACTTTTATTTGGAAGTATTGTGCCCTACTGTAGATCTCCACAACATGGTGACCCAAGTTTGACACTGAATAAACGTGGTTTTACTTATACTGTAGTTAGACAAGGACACAAATCAGACTGTGCTATATATCCAGCAAAGTAGTGGTTGGCTGATTAGTGATCAGTCACATTTTGCAACCAAATTCATTTAAGGTACAACTATATTCAAAGGTTGCACTGGATGCGACTGCAAAATAAACAACTTTATGCACGAACGACTGCTATCACTGTAGAAATGGTGGACAGACATAACAATGCTGTCATCACAATGTCTCTCTGCAGGTCGGTCACTCACCCATCTCAGGAGGCAGAGACTTCCAGTCTATCAAATGGGTCAATCCACACTGACATGCGTCATCTCTGGACCCCTTTTTACAACTCAAATCTATTTTTTCCTTTGGTGCATTTGAAGTGTAATTGCCCCAGACAGCTGCTTAAATCAGGCAGATCATCTGTTAGCCTGTTTAAGTGCTGGAAACTTTTTCTTGAACCTCTTCTGAAGTATCAAGCTCATGGTGTCACTGTGAGATTTTCCCATCGTTTGTATGTATTTTGGATGTATGTATAAGGATGGATGGAAGAACAGAAATTAAAACCATAATAAAACCATACATATAAAGGCTGCTGATTCCTTGCTGATGAGGTTGGAATCAGTGTGGACTGAACTGATCAAACACATCACGCATATGGGCCCCTCACATCTAGTCAAGTCCCAGTTTGAAGTTAGTAGTGGCTGAAACCATCAATCCTTCTTTAAGTAGTAAACTACCATTAGCTTTAGCCCAGAAATGAGCTGGCACTTAGCCAGGCAAGTGAGAGAGCTCAACTGTGCATGAACATTGCCAAAGAGTAGAAATTCTTCTTCAGAATTAAAACAGCATACAAATAAATCACCTACACAAATGGCAAAGCATGCACGCAATTCATTGGTTTATACTGTATTTCAACTGAAATACCCTCATCATTAGTGTCATGATATTGGGATTATATATCAGCCATCAGCCACTCTACTTTCTAAAACATCAGCACTGGCCATTGAAAAACCTATATTGGTTGACCACTACAGCAAAGTACTGGCAAACAACAGCAAAGAGCTGTCGAAACATTTTTAATGACTGTAGATTTGTACTTGATTTCAGTAGGCCTTACTGGGATATGTGTGTTGAAATAACAACTGATGGTGCAGCCTGCATGACTGGTAATTTCTGGAAGGAGCACTGACTTGGAACGGCTACATGAAACTACGCGAGAAGATAGCGAGGTAGTAGGAGTGGAGACCGTAAAATGTGATGCTGATTCTTAGCCTTTAGAACTCACAGCATATTTACTTTTTAAGTTTTAAAGAAATGTAATTTCTTCTTGCAAGAAGGCTTATGGTATTTCATTGTGTTTTAAACCCAGTTGTTGTTAATTCTAATATTCTGTAAAGTAAAATTCAAGGTGTGTAAATTTAGCTTTTGTGTGGTCCTTGTTTTAATGGCTAAGGAGTAACATGGACCCTTGGGATGGCCCAGTTGAGAACCACTGATCTAAGACTTAACTCTCAAAACGTTTTTCACTTATCTGACCTGTTTCCAGAATCCGTCGATGTAACAGTCCCGGATGGAGAAAGGCCTCATCTTTACATGAACGGATCTGTGTTCCCACTAACTCAGAGTTGGTGGCAAGTATCCGTGCGCTCTCCTCATTCAGGTTCACTCCAGCCATGGAGGCCACATCGTTGATGTCATCGTCATCCCTGCAAGATGAGAAGATAGGATAATATGGAAATATATGGAAATCATGACTTCCTAGCTTAACATACATTACAAACCTTCTTACACAGGGAACAGCCTCAATGTATTAAGTGTTCTCTTGGTGTTTAGGATGCAATGATGTTTGCAGATATTGTACACAGATGTTTTATTTGTGGCACATTTTATGTCTAGTGTTTGATTAGCATTACCGATTTTAAAATTTTAACACATCTTGATCATCCATCAACTCATTTCAAAGTAGACTGGAGAGGCACAGGGTACTTTTTATAAAAAAAATTAAAATAAAAAAAAAACAGCACCAGTTTAGGGAAAATTTAAGGTACAGTTCCTAAAGTCTTAGAATGTGGCACACTGATTATGGGACCCCATGGCATGCAGGGAGAACGGGGCTGAAGCTGTCTTAAGGAATTATGTTGTTGTCGCATTAGTGACTTCTACTGTTTCATCTACGCTGGGTCTTTCTACTCATTCCTATATTAGCAAAACAAGAGCATTAGTGCAGGGGTGAAAAAAAGTGTAATTCTGCTCCTCCTTCTTTCCTCAGAGTGGAAAGAATTTATCCACTATTGGGAGGCGACAGTGGTGCGGTGGGTAGAGCAGTTGTCTCCCAACCAGAAGGTTGAAGGGTCGAATCTCGGTGCCTACAGTCCACGTGTCCTTGGGCAAGACACTGAACCCCTTCCCTTTGCCCCCCCGATGGTTAGAGCCATCAGTGGAGTTGGCACCGCAGATGGCTTCTATACTGGAAACAAATTCCTTGTGTGTAACATACTTGCCCAATAAAGGTGATTATTATTATAACAAGAATTTATTTTGGAGTAAAAGGCTTGTACCTTTCTCCACATCTAAATATGTATGTCCTAATGTTATCAACATATATTCCCTAAAATCTGTTGGATAGCCTGTTTTTATTCATGAATATTTTCTTGAGTTAAGTTATGCATTGGTTTTGTTATAGCAGGCTATACTTTGGCCATAATGGCACAGAATTCCCATTCTAGGCTCTATTTGTGCAAGCACTCCGAGAGGCGAAGATGAAGAGCATTTGGACGCAATTTAGCACAGTAAGGATGCTCCTGAGGATTGGCACTGAGCTCTGATGAATCTAGCTATATGCTAATGTCAACAAACTCGATTTACACAACACTTGCCACACTTAGCAATATATTTTCATGAGAAAACAGGTCATTTTACATAGGCTTAATGCTGACTTCACATTGTTAACATTTCATTGCATATTATTTAGCTGAGACATACAAGAGGATAAACACGTAGAAATTGTGTCTGGGTCTCTGCATTTGACAGTCAGCAATGTCCACACATCCTTTGAAGGCAGTAACTTATTCGTGAATTGAAACAATGGCAAATTCCTGCACAATTACTGTACTTGGCAAGTGATGATTCTGATTCTGGCCTGAATTAGTGGAGTGGTGACGTGTTGTGCTTACAGGACTGGCCCAGAGTGAGCAGCAAATGCTTTGACAGAGGGAACAAAGAGCCACGGGAACACACACACAGTGGCCTCTTGCCACTCACTGGCTCACCTCCACAGTCATTTACGTTCATGCCAATGAGGCTGGTTGTGATAGAGCAAATTGTTTCAGGCATCTGAGTGTGGGCACACCATCAGCCAAAGCCACACCACTGAGGCTCTCCTGCTCCTTGGTGAGAGAGCCGATATGAAACTTGACACCACGATGGGAGGTTGACAAAGACGATTAGAGCAGCTCTCTGAACCACAACACCTCTACATTCCCTCCTCTTTTCCTTCTCTCATCTAGTGCTCAGAATAATTATGCCCTTGCTGGGACAATGTACTCAACAAAACAAGCATGGATACATAAGCTTATATCTTGTACTGCACCACAGGCTGTGCACCCCTATTCATCATGTCCTCATGGATAATTTGACCTGTCCTATATAGAAACATGCCTAAAGCTCCACTCAGGCAAAAAAGGTAAAAATACACACAAACTTTACATATAGACAGTTTAAAACTACGTGGTTAACACAAATAAGTGACTGATTGATTAACCAACCAGATGGATAGTCACAGCTATATAAACACTACACTGACAGCTAGTTGTATAAATTGGAGAAAGGCCTGCAACAATCACTGTTGAATGTACTAATTCTATTTTTGTGAAGTCAATGCCACAGGCACATTGCACACATAAAGGCTTAGATAACCATTTAAAAATGTTTATATACTCAGATTTGAGAATAAATGAAAATGCTTTGCAATATGTTAAAACTGAAGCAAAAAACTGTGTCATATTTGCACACATCATCTCTCTTACTCAGGTACCATAAAAGCCTTAGATCACATTATCTAAATGAAAAATGTCTGTTCAAAAACAAAAACTGTAAAGTTTTATTATCATTATTATTGTTCAAGCAAAGCTAGAATAACTGGGCTAATAGTTAAGTATTTAATTGTAGTATCATATAAATAGTAGAAGGTTAGGTTCATCCAATCTTTAGTGTAATGGACATAACAAACTCTAAGAAAGGCTATATTCTCAACTATATTAACTAGTATAGTTCCTGCAAACTGCAAAATATCTGGCTTTAGTCTATGTATTAAGTATCATTTGCTTATGTATCTGTCCCTAAAAAAACATAAACATAAATGTGAATTTGTATTTTGTTATTTGGCTTCGAGTGATTTGTTCATATAGTAATAACACAGCTACAATGGGGACAGAAACCCAGTCAAACTAATAAATCACCATAAAGTTATATTGAACAACAGGCTTAGCTTACATAAACCCAGAGAAGTATACTTTTTTACATTTTACTACAGTAGCAACATAGCTTAATCTCTGAGAGAAAATTAAGTGCTGCTTTATTTTCACTGGTCAGAATTTACAGTACAAGTAGTGTGGATTAACAATAAACTACACTGAATCTACTGTATAACACACTGGCGGTAATACACAGCAGGGAGATTAATGAAGTGGTTACAACTGTATGGGCACATAAAACATCACTCGGTATCCAAGAACACTGGGAATATTATGAATAATAATGTTTCTTTTTCTTGGAAGGTCTGATTTGGGACTGCTGGGGCTCCAATCAAATGAGAATGCCAGAGAAAGGTCTGACATTAAAAGGAGGGAGCAAGATATGAAATGCAAAATATTCTCGCCTATGTCTCTGTGCTAATAAAGCAGCAATGTCATTAGCTTCCACGGGAAGCTAATAGCAGCCTCGGAGTTATTGGTTCGGGTTGGCACAGGGACATGGAGCTGGCGGTCACATGAATACATATTCATGTCATTTCCATATCAAGCTTGCGTTTTAGGGAGGGCACACCATAGGTGGAGGGAGGACTACATTTGCCTCTTAGAGGGTGTGTGTGATGATCAAGCCCCCACCCCCACCCCCCCAGTCCTGTGGATAAAGGTCTTGGTGCCCAAGCAGGGTGCCCTGATTGATCCCTGAGACTATCACCCAGACTATGCAGGCTTGTTGCACCCACACTGTGAGGCATGGACCATGGGAGAAGTATGTCCACAATGCAGCTTGGGGTTCACTGGGCAGCTGATGGGATATGTGTTCATGACTCAAACTGATTGGTGGCAGAGGTGGCACAAGTTGACCCAATAAATTCAGCAGCAAACTACTGCTAGACAACTTTTATTAATTCAACAGACCACCAACACACAAGCTGTAATTATTCACAAATATATATAAAAAAAAATGGCTAGGTATAATGTAGATGATGTTCTGATGGAGGCGTAAGCCACGATATTTTGATTTGATGTGGCTGTTTTATATTATACCAAACTTCCCTATTTTTCGTTCAGGCACTTTGGAGCACCACCACTTTCTTCATGGAATTTTGGAGCATCTTTACTGTGGTACCCAATCAGAAGATAATTTAATCTTGTGGCTGCCATGTTTCCAAGTCTTTGCATCAACAGTTTTTGGGAGGTCACTTTTATGTCCTAATTGAGTCACATTTATTTGTAAAGCCGTTTTAAGCAAAACAGGCAGATCACATAGCAATTTACAGAGCAACAAAGGGTAACCACAAAGACACAATGAATTTACTTTACTAGTAAATGATGGAAAAGGGCTCATGGACTATTACATTTACTGGCAACAGTGATTGTGAACAAAAACCTTTGCTCCTTATTTTGCATGTGTATGTCCTTTCCATGTGAATATGCAAGTGTTTGTGTGTACAGATGTTTGTGTCCACCATGGAGGACAGGGTTGGATTTGAGAGGCTGAGGCTCAGCTCAGAGGTTGGCAGAGGACTGGGAGCCTCGGCTAGTTCGTCTGTGATTAGAGCGGATGCTGAGTGTTTACAGAGAAATTTTTTACAGAGACAGCTGCTTTCACTCTATACTGTAAACTACACACAAACATGCGCACACTGACTTAAGAACTTACACAGAAGGCTGTAGCTATATTGGAAACCCCCACAAGCCCCGCTGTGTATGTGTGTGTTTGTGCTACAGCTGGACAAGCTGGGACCAGTGGCTCAGAGTGACAGTCCCCGACTACAGCTGGACACGATGCATGCTGGGTGGGTGACAGGCTGGTGGATGCTGACCGACCAGACTGGCTGGTGGATTTTCTTTTTCTTTTTTATAGTCAATATGATGATTTGTGACATTTTCTCTATTTGTCTCTCAAACTTTGTTGCTATACATGTACACTGCCATCATGTCAAAAAGACAAAAAACTGATCTTCACTGTATATCGGCTTCTCACTTTCACACTTTTCATAATGTTTCTGCAACATTCTCTTCTCTTAAGCCTTTGTTGCAACATAGACTTTCAAGAATAAATCCGACCTGACTTGACTATATTATGCTTATGAGATGTTGTGGGTGCTGAAGATCAAAATCAGCAGAAACTCACAGGGGGCTTTTAACAACTTGTAAAGCAAATATATCTTCTATTATTTCCCATTGTGATTTACAGGAAACACAATAGCCCTTACAGGTCAAGTCATTATGTCCATGCTGCAGGTGTCTGGATGTGGTGTGAAAAAATAATGGCATCTAACAAATCACCTTGCAGCCCTGGACTCTGTTCTAACATGTTCTGTTTAAAGGGTAAGAAAAACTGCAAACAATAAACAGTGTAGGAAACTGAGGCACTGAGAGTTACACCAGTAACCAACTGAGGTCCAGTTGAAGCCTTAACAAGCAGAGTTGCATTCAGTTTGCAGGATATACTAAGAAATAGAACCACATATTGTGTAGCTTGTTTAACACAAAAGTGTAGACCAGGTAAACTTTCACCTGACGTGAATACAAGGAAAATATACAACCAAATGTCAATGACATGCTTCTTCCATGACAGCAGTGCTGTGAATTATTGGGCTTACTGTATGTTGAAATCAGTGTGTTTGTGTGTGGAGGGCCACTGTGATCACCGCCGGGGGAAAAAGGTTGTCAGTAACAAGCGAGCCTGACAGCTTAATTACCAGCGCAGCTAAAGATTTATTGGTTTATCAATCAGAGCCCCGAGCACTGCCTTTACCCTCAGGAGACAGGAGCCATTATCATGAACCCGTTGGCCCGTGTGGCCTGCACTCTTATTGCCCCAGCCCGGTCACACTGGGGCAATCCTAATCCCCTGCTCCTATCAGTACATGTGTATGCACACATTTGATACATTCACATAAACAAATGCAGATATTGTTAGACTCTTAGGCTATACACATGTATTTATGTGCACCCAAACAGGGACACAAAAACACAAACAGAGGCAAAACAGGGGCATACATGCAAAGATATACACACAGTCATGGCCACAAATCTTGGCACCCCGGCATTTCACATCACTTCTCCCAGAAAATTGTTGCAATCACAAATTTTTTGGTAATCTCATATTTATTTCTTTTGTTTGTATTGGAAAAACAAAAAAACTGAGAAAAAGCCAAATCTGATCCATTCCACATAGAACTGCAAAAATGGACTGGACAGAATTATTGACACCTTTTCAAATTAATCAGAAACAGTTGCACTTCAAGCATGTGATGCTCCTTTAATCTGTAATGAGACTCACCTGTATCAATCAACAGGTGCTGGCAATATAGAAATCACACTTGCAACCAGTTAAAATGCCGAAAAGTTGATGAAATCACACTTGCAGCCAGTTAAAATGCCGAAAAGTTGATTAAATCTTTGTGTTGTGTGGACCACACTGAGCATGGAGAAAAGAAAGAAGAGCAAAGAATTGTCTGAGGATTTGAGAACCACAATAGTTTGAAAAAGCCTGGACATTGTTAAGGCTCCAAGTCCATCTCCAGAGATCTGGCTGTTTCTGTGTCCACTGTGTGCAACACTGTCAAGACGTTTACAACCCGTGGCACCGTAGATAATTTCCCTGGACATGGACGAAATAGAAAAACAATAACAGATTGCAACAAAGGATTGTTCGAATGGTGGATGAAGAACCTTGATTAACTTCCAAACAAATTCAACTTGACTTGCAGGCACAGGATGCAACAGTGTCAGCTCGCACTATCTGTCACGATCTGAATGACAAGGGACACTATGGTAGGAGACCCAGGGGGCCCACTGCTGACACAGGAACATAAAAAGCCAGATTGGAGTTTGCCAAAACCTACCTGAGGAAGCCAAAGTCCTTCTGGGAGAATGTCCTGTGGACAGATGAGACTAAAATAGGGCTTTTTGGTCGAGCACATCATTCTACTGTTTTCAGAAAACAAAATGAGGCCTTCAAAGAAAAGAACACAGCCCCTACAGTTAAGTACAGTGAAGGTTCGTTGAGGTTCACACACTGGATGTCTTGACTGTGTGTATGGCATTATGAAATCTGAAGACTACCAATGAATTCTGGGTCACAATTTTGGGCCCAGTATCAGAAAGTTGGGTCTCTGTCAGAGGTCATGGGTCTTACAGCAGGACAATGAACCAAAGCACCAGAAATAGTTTCAGACAATGAGCTGGAGAGTTCTGAAGTGGCCAGCAATGAGTCCAGATCTAAATCCCATAGATCACCTGTGGAGAGATCTCAGAACAGCAGCTGGAAGAAGGAACCCTTCAAATCTGAGAGACTTGGAGCAGCTGGCAAAAGAAGAGTGGTCCAAAACTTCAGTGGAGAGGTGGAAGAAACTCACTGATGGTTACAGGAAGTGATTGATTTCAGTTATTTTGTCCAAAGGGTGTGCTACCAAATATTAAGTTGAGGGTGTCAATAATTCTGTCCAGTCCATTTTTGGAGTTCTGTGTGGAATGGATCAGGTTTGACTTTTTTTTCTTTGCTTTTTGTGATGTTCCAATGTAAACAAAAGATAGAAACATGGGAATTCCAAACAATTTGTGATTGCTACAATTTTCTCAGAGAAGTGGTGTATTATCTGACAGAAACGCAGGGATGCCAATATTTTTGGCCATGACAGTGTATGGCACATACACTCTCCATATAAACAAAAAAATGGAAAGACTTGCACAAAACATGGACTACAAAGGCTAGCATGTCGGCAATGAACCTTTTATGTTTTGAGACAAAAGCACAGCTGAAGCAAAGAGACAGAGAGAGAGCAAAGCTGGAGGCTAAATACCGTATGTTTGACTTTACCAAAAGGCATTTTCAGAACCGCATGCAGAAATTCCAGTCATCTGGACACAATTACCTTATTTCTAAATTAAGATTGAGCTCATTTCTAATCCTGTCGATGAGTTGTGACACTGACTCAAGAGGGGTGATGGTGAGGGTGATCTACTGCCTGGCAGTGTGTTGCTATGTGGTGGGTGCAGAAAAACAGGACCACCAATCAACCAGCCAGCCAGGCAGGCAGCCAGGTGGCCAGGCAGGCAACTGGGATAGACACTCATAGCCTTAGCTGAGAGTGTAGCCTGTAGTCATGCAGAGGCATCCTAGTGAAATGCTGCCCCCATGTGATAGCAGTCAGGAACAACAGGCACTCTAAAGTCAGTCTCCTGGCAAGAGGAGATGTACCTGAAAGAACCTCCTCCGGGGTCATTGAGCTTGTTTTTCTGATTCCCAGTGATCTGAACAGCCAAGCCCACGGGACTTTTTCCTGCTTGGATGACTGCTCCCTTCCCCATTGTGCCTGTTAAAGAAAGGTAAAAAACAAAGAAGAAACACTAAACAAAGCAGGAAAACAGTAATGTTATCATTGAAGTGTCCCTTTCTATTTGCGTCTAATATCCTCCCATCCAACAACTACCTTCAACTATCTTCCTCACAGGGGTAGATGGAGACAGGGTGGGGGAGCGGTACCGTTGCTCTCCCCAGATTGGTGCAGAGAGCGTCACTCTGTCAATATCACTGCACTTCACTGGCTCTCCTTACACTCCTAAACTGCATCCTGCTCCGAGACACAGTTTCCAGAGAGGCACAAGGACTGCCAGAGTGAATTTAAACTTGATTTTAACAGGCATGTTCCTAGCCAAGAGGCACAGAAAAGTATTTTTAGAACTATCCCTGCATTCCAATTTATGGGCATAAAACAACCTACAGATCTTTCACTGCAGGCAATCTCAGGGAAGGGGGCAGATCAAATTTGTATGCACCTCGGATCGTACACAAGCATGCACACAAGCAGAAACAGGTACAAACACACACATTACACACACCACCTGAGAGCACACAGCTCTCTTCGGGGAGCATTACACCCGGTTTGGTGTTGGGGCGATATTTGTGGGCTTCTGCAGGGAGAGTGTTTGTGAATCAGTGTGAGTAAGCAGCAGCTCAAATGTTTGAGAAGGCTTTATAACCAGACAGGGAAAAACACCTGTTCTCTCTGTGGCTGTGTTTACACATCTTACAGCCTACTGAGAGAACATTTAGAGTTGCACTAATGCCTTATGTTTATGCTCTTTCGCTGGCTCTTTACTTAACCAGCAGGTCATACTGAGTTTGAAAATCTTGAAATATCTCTTTGCAAATACAGATTCACTGAAAAAAAATTCAGGACAGAAACAGAAGAACAGTGTGAGTCAGAGGACGTTATCAATGATGGACAAGAGAATCAGACTTACTAGAACTTTACAAAAGTATTTGTTTAATCATTTGTCTTTGACTGAATCTTTACTTCAGTGATGCACAACTTTGCAAAAAAATTTTCTGAGTGACACACACATGCAAGAAACAAAAACCGCAGATACTGAACATCTGATTGAATTCAAAAGAGTCAATCAAAATTTGTTGGAAAAGACCTTCTGATGTCCTACCTTGTACTCTGACAGACTGTGTGATCACCATGGGCATGCGGATGTGGCCACCGACAGTGCCCGCTGTCTTGATTCCCTGAGGGGGCAGGCAAACAAACAGAGATTTCTGTAGTATTTCAAACAGTGAAACAATTTTAAAATGAGAGTTGAAATTAAAAAGTATGAAAGTGCATGCCTGCTACACCACTGCTCCATTTTTACAGCATCCCTAAGAGAAACTGTTCAGGGGAAAATCCCCTCTCAGTCATATTTAGTTGTAAGAAATGATACAAAGACAAGTTAGTCAAGAGCCACTTGACTACCTTTTGTGGTCATTTCTATGCTATTCTAACATATTAAAAATGTCTACAGTATTAATGCAAGACAGATGCAGAATAAATACAAGAATGATGAATTCTACAATGGCTCTCTCTGGACATTATACTAAGAATGTGGAGATCAATTCACATGCATGAGGAGGATGGATTGCTTCACTGTACATGACCTACATTTGCTTGCATTTCCAGATAAGACAAAGGCAATAAGAAGTCAAGACCGTAGTGAAAAAGTAGTTTAGATGAAGGAGAAGCAGTAGTAGAAGGAGCAGGCGGGTGGAGGGGCTGTGCTGGGCTATTAGAGTCACTTCCTTCCTTGGAAGCAGCCACAGGACGAGCCCCAGGCTCAGCCATCCATTCCTACCAGTTTGCTTCTTGCTGCATATTTTTTAGCCTTGTTTTCCATTTCCTGACACATGCTATATTACTGTTCAAGCTACTGAAAAAAGACAGAGACCATTTTTCCCAGAGATCCACTGCAGGGGCCTGTGAGAATAGGAGGAAAGGGAAAAATGGATTCAGCACAGGCAGAGATAGCTAGCACCTCTGGCCAGCTGGCGACACAATTAAGAGAGGAAGAAGAAAAAAACTCAGGTAGAAAGTTTGGAAATTGGGGTGAAAGAGAAGACACTGAACATGAAACCCCTGCTCATCATTCATTTTTAATATTGATTTTCCTGTTTTTAAACATCAGAGTAACATTAAAAGTTTGATGTCATTTTATTGACTGCACACAATTTATTTTTTGAATAACTGCTAACATTCTTCACATACTTCATTTTGTGAAAAGCAACATTCATTAGCATTGTAATCATGCAGGATTTCCACAAAATCTGATCCAGAAAAATAGGATTTAAGACAATCATCCCTGCAATCCCTTGTTTGTCCAAATAATTCTACTAATATTTCCAAAGTCATGTGTGAAGACCACACACGTTTCACTTATGCGATTGGTAACACTGAAAATGCGCACACACATAACATGGACTGCAGCTTAACTATAGCTAATAATCAGTTGGCTGCACACATGATCTGTAGCCAGTGAGGCTGCAGCTTTTTATATTTTGCTTTGTTGGCTTCCCAGGAGATTTGATCTTGCTACATAACTTAAAATATGGCTAATACCGCATAATGAGGCTATACATTTGCATATGCATATACACTGTTGCAGTTAAGAATGAACTGCTGTGTAATGAAGCGTCCTGCATACTACTCTCCATTCATCCACTGTTCTATCATGTCTATTTGCCTCATATATCATTTGTCCTGAGGAAGTCTATGGTCCAGCAAGTTTCATTATAGCTTATGGTGTATTTTTTTCAAAGATCAAAATAAAGGTTTACATTGTAGCACTCAGGAGTTGATGATCACACATGTTGATGTGTACAAATAATTTTAGGTTGCAAAAAAATTAGACTGTGCTGATGAAATTATACCAGTCACTGGCATGTTAAACGTATTTCCATGTAGTATATACAGTAAAGGTAAACTCAAAATTATAAAAAAAAAACAACAACACCCAAAATAGCCAAAAATCTTCCAAGACTCCTAAACTGGAAAGAGGGTTCCAACTAACTGTCAAACCTCAGATTCTCAGATTCAGGAGGAACAATGTGGATTCCATCCTGGCCATGGAACAGTGGATGGACCTTTGACCCTTGCAAAGCTACTGGAGGGGGTGAGCTTGCCCGTCCAGTCTACGGTCTGTTTTGTGGACGTGGGACCCTTGCGGGGGTCTTGTGAGGGGTACTGCAGGGGTATGGGGTACCAAGGCCTTTGATATGAGCCATTCAGTCCTTATATAACTGGAGTGGGAGTTGTGTTTGTACATCAGGATCACCCTGGGTTGTGACTTTCATGGACAGGATCTCAAGGTGCAGCTGGGGAAAGAAGTGTATCTGGTTTTTGGACCTCAGAATCAGTTCTCTGCTTTTTACAGATGATGTGGTTATATTGGCTTCATCAGACCGCGACCTCCAGCATGCATTTGGGAGGTTTGCCCCTGGGTATAAAGCAGCTAGGAAAAGAATCAGCACTTCCACCACCTCTGAGGCCATGGTTCACTACTGGAAAATGGTGAATTGCTCTCTTTGGGCTGGCAATGAGTTGCTGTACAAGCGAAGGAGCTTAAGTATCTCAGGGTCTTGTTCTTGAGTGAAGGCATGGGGAAGCTAAGCTGGAAGTCAAAGATTTCAGTTTAGCAACTTATGTTCCAATCTACACCACAACAGAGGTACTGGAGACTCGGGTCGTGACTACAAACAGCGCAAATGAGTTTCCTCCATAGGGTGACTGGACTCAGTCCTAAAGATAGGGTGTGGAGTTTGGACAGCTGGAGGGGAATAGACCAAGAATATGCTGGAGGCATCATGTAGCTCATCTAGTCTGGGAATGCCTCGGTTTCCCCAGGAGGGGCTGAGGAATACTGCTGGGGAGAGGGACATGTGGACCACCCTGCTAAACCTGCTACCCGCACAACCCAACCCTGAACAAGCAGCTGACAATGGATTAACATTAAATTCACATTGTATCATGCTGTCAACAGTTACATTTGAAACATTTTACAAATCATTATGCAAAACTCTATAACCTTGTGAGTTAAAGTGTATAGAAAATAACTTAAATAATATAACTCCACATCTGCTCTATACTGTACATTTCCATACAACTACTTCCAAACTACTCCAAGAAACGTTTTGAATCCCACTATGGTTAGAGCATATAACCTAATTTAACTAGCTGTTTGGTTTCAGCCTGTCGATGTGATCATTTACTGTTTCTTTCTGTGTCTGTCTATGTTTTTGTACTTGCTACATTGTGAGGACCAAAAAAAGGTTTTTTATTTGTTTGTTTGTTTTTTGTTGCGTGTGTTTGTTGTGCTATATAGAGTGAGGGCATTTTTGGAAAGTGAGGACATTTTGGCCAGTCCTCACATTCTGAAAACAGCTTTTAGAGGGTTAAGAGTTGGTTTTAGGGTTCAGTTTAGAACTAGGTTAAGGTTAGGTATTAGAGTAAGGGTTATGGTTAGGCATTTAGTTCTGATGGGTAAGGTTAGGGTAAGTAGCTAGGGAATTATGTCATGAGTGTCCTCACAAAGATAGGAGTACATGTGTGTGTGTGTGTGTGTGTGTGTGTGTGTGTGTGTGTGTGTGTGTGTGAGAGAGAGAGAGAGAGAGAGAGAGAGCTTATACTGGTGTTGTATCCATGTGTATATGCATGTGAGAGGGAGATGGAGAGAGCCAGCGAGACCAGAGGCATGTTGTGGACATAGACTGTGGCCGCCACATTGCTTTAAAATTGACCCCAGGGCTGACCTAGTTACCTCACTTCATCCTTCAACAGTTAACAGATAGAGGGAGGGTGTGGGATGAGAGAGTGATGCGGGGGTAGATACAAACAGAGAATCTATTGGAAAAAGATGGGGAGAGCGTAGAGCAGGGAAAAGAGAAAAAGAGAGAATAACTGAGATAAAAAGCTAAAAAGGACCAGTGAAAGAAAAGAGAAAAGAGAGGGATGGCAGAAGGAGAGTGAGAGAGTGAGGGAAAGACTGAGAAAGAAAGTGTAAAAGAGAAAGAACATCCTCTAGCTCATCCACCCCTCTGGCTGGACCAAACCAATCTTTGTCTGACCTCACTTGACCCATTTGTAGATGTCTGTGCATAACTTTCAGTGCGCACACACACATGAAGAACACCCACACAACAATGATTGTGTGCCACAGCTATGAGGCAATTGAGGCTGCCCATGTCCAGTGTGGGACCATGCAGAACCCCTGGCCTTAATTCAGCTGTATACCCACCCTATCACTGACTCACAATTTGTGGGTGCTACTACACAGTACGTCATAATATGCTTCTGTATGAAAGCTGACATGCTGGTACATGCAGCTGGGATATTGAATAGACTGGTTTTCAATCAAAGGATAGGGGGATAGCGGGGTGCATTTCTGTCTATCAGTGTTTCTCTGATACTACAACTAAGTCATGATGCTTGGAAATCTTTAAATCAGAACCAATGGAGCATCAACAGACAGTTACTGTAGGTTTTCATCTCACTTTTTCTATGTTTCTAAAATTTTGATATATTAAATTTAAAAAGTTGTATAATCAAAGCATTTTTTTCTAAATTAAAAATCCAAAGTAATTTTATTAAATTATCGGTTTGGGCGTTGTAATTACATTATTTTTAAGATTATCATACTTGATAGCAAGTCAGAAATGTTGTTTGCCTACTGTAAATCTAATAACTAAATGTTATTTATATATCACCTTGCACAGATGAAGTGTAGGATTTAAAAGGTAGGACCTGAGCTGGGTTTGTGACTGTAAAGTTCCTGGGTCAGATACTTCTACTCAGCTGTCAGAGTCCTGGCAGGAGTAAACAATTATCATCAAGGTGCCTTTGATTCAAGTGCACAACCACCATCTGCTCTGATCAGTGGAGCTGATCAGTAGAACAGTTTGGTCTCCAAGGTGTGAACATGCAAGTTGAGACTGTGTCTCATTAAAGTCCATACCTAGAAAAATAAATATTTCTCTGAGGACTGTCTCGGTTCCTCTGTCTGCATGGACATCTGTCCAGCTTGTACCCTTTACAATCTGGCTTAAATAACTACACATATTTTACATTACATAAATACAGTAGGGCTGGGCAATGATTTTGAAATAGTCCTTACATAAAAAAAAAATCGACTACTTCATGCAACTATGGTTTTGTCTTTACAAACAAAGAGCTGCTGTTTTCTCTTGCTTTTACCAGCACCTGGAAACAACATGATAATGAGGTTAGTATATCATTTACTACAGCAGCAAATAGAAATAGCAGAAACATGCAGAGACTACAGCCATCAAGAAAAACGGTGACAGCACAACTGGGATAAACCACATGATGATAATGCATGTGAGCTGCTCGCTTGTCTGACAAGTATTCAAAAGGTGTATCTGACCACAGATACAGGGACAGCACCTAGAACAGAATCGTATGTGACGGTCACCAGCCATTATATTAGCATCTGAAAATGTTGTACAGTGCTCTTTAGATTAAAGCAATGCCAGAGGGAAATACTACTGAAAACATGGCAAATGTGCTTTCCACTGCCGCTGAACACCTGGGACTTACAGGTAAAGTCACAGCATGCACATATGATAACACTAGCAATATGGTGCTAGCCAGCATGGAACAGCTTGGGGGGGTGCATTTTAATTTGAAGTGCCGATCCCTAAAATACAGTACAATTACATGCATATACAAAAGCCCCCATCTTCTTCTTATAATACTTTACTTTGTACTGGTAAACTGAGTGTGATTCCACAGTGAGTCTGTGAGCTGGGTGTGACTAACTCACTGCTGGCTTTGTGACTCCCAGCCACGGCAATGTGGCCTGATAATTCAGCCTTGTATAATACTCATCAGCACACACACACACACACACACCACCACTAGTATCACCCCACAGTTCTGTATCCATCACACTCCAGCACTTCCCTATTGAATGTAGGAATATTTTATGTTTATGTTTTATCAGCATATAAATATTGTGTTTGTTGAAGTTTGTGACTTTGGTGAACATCAGATCACATTTCTTGACCAAATTATGCAGAAAACCAGGAAACTGCAAACAGTGCCATTACTCTTTCTTGCAACTTTTATGTCTATTTAATGGAAGTGTAATGTTACTCATCCAGCAAATGAAGCTTGTGTAATCGCTGTAAAGTCACTTTGGAATTTAAATGAACTGAAATATAAACTGTAAATGTAAACAGTATGGAACAGTATCTGTGCTGGGACACTGTTCCAGCTGTCTGCTCCATACATACCATGCCAGCTGTATGTCCAAGTGTTCCAGTCGGCAGTGCACTGGCACCTGTAGTGGTGCTGATGCTGTTAGGGTGGCGTATGCAGACAGCTGGCCCAGCCACAATGGCAGGAGGGGTGCCGCCAGGTGCTGGTTTGACTCCCTGTTGCATGGGCTGGGTTAGGGACTGTTGACTGTTTAGCAAAGACAGCCTCAGAGCCGGGAGGCTCTTCTGTTGAGGGGCAGAGAGAGGTCAGAGTTTGCAGTCTTAGAGTAAAACAAACATACATGAAAAAATACCATACACAGCTGCAAAAACTACCACTGCTGTGGTCATTCAATTTATTACAGTGTTATCACAAAAACATGGCTGCAGGTGGGGATCAGCTGACATTTGTGACAACACCAGTTTGTGCATTTTTCACACAGTGATTCATTTGGTTTTATACTTTACAAAAATATTTACTTCTAAACTAAAATTGTCTGATTTGATTTCAGGATAATGAACCTACTTTATGTTTACATAACTCTCTATAGGAAAAATGTCCATTAGCCACTTCTGATAAATCCACTGTCACAGCCGACCTAAGGAGCTGATGCTGCTCCATACAGACTATTCTAGGCAGATTTTGACGCAAGTCACCTAACACTGCATGACAACATGTGTTTGTGGCCAGGTTGGGAGGTCGGGTGCCTTGATCTGATGCTCATCACAGTTGGCTGGAGAAACCTGCTGGCTACTGGCAGGGACGGCTGCAAGGGGTCACTGTCACACACAGTCAGAAGGCAGGCCAGACGGTGTGCGTGTGTGTGTGAATGATTCTACCGTCAGGCCTAACCATCACTGGCCTTTTTGCCCAGGAAAGGACTAATTTAGGGGGTCAGTTTATGAAAATACTTGAGCTTAAAGAGCCAGGTTAGGGGATGATTTAAGGGTACAGGTTAGGGAG